AAGTTAATGGCAATGCTAAGTCTATAGATAATGCTAAGTCTATGGCATAGGAATAACATGGGTAATGCTAAGTCTATGGCTATGCTAAGTCTATGGCATAGGAATAACATGGGTAATGCTAAGTTAATGGCAATGCTAAGTCTATAGATAATGCTAAGTCTATGGCATATGGATAACATGTGTAATGGTATATCAATGTGACAATGGGATTATAAATGAATCTGCCATAATACATAAAACTAATTGTTGTCAAAAACATTTAAAATTTTCAAATTTATTCTAACAATAGTATTGAAAAATTTAAAATCTTTGATGCATTTCCCGAATAGTTGTTAACGTATAGCATCGCTGTGTGATCCTTGTTTAAATATAATGTTTGAATTTTATAAATGGTTTGCTATTTGAATAAATAAAACACGTTTGAATTAAATTTCACCTAGTATTACCGGTAACTTTATGTGAGTTTTAGTAATGGGGGGTAATCTTATCCGGGTAACATTACCCCTGTTTTGAAAAATCGCATTTTCACTGGATTTCACGTAATATTACCGGTTTTCTTATGAGAGTATATACGGTATATCTGGAATTTACAAACAATATGTATTGAAAAGTCATAAACTTATTGTAATTAGTTTTGAATATTGTAAAAGTCATAAACTTATTGTAATTAGTTTTGAATATTGTAAAAGTCATAAAAATTTAAGAATTGATTTGTATTATAGGGTTGAATGCAATGGAAGAACACTTCTCTTAATTTTTTAATGAATAATGTGTTTAATAAAAGTTATTTATTTTACAAATTCATGATTTATTTGATGGCATTAAATGATGGTTTATATGATATCATATTGAGAATGGGATGAAATGTGTTTTCAAATGACACCTTTTGTACATTGAATGCAAGTATTAAAACATTTGTATGAATCGATCCAAAATGAGTACTCCATAAACATAATGTTCAAAAAGTATGAACTGTGTGAAAGCTGCAATTATTTCACTTCACACAAAAGGTGTTTGGAAACACTTACTGTATTGAATTCTGGTCATGGATAGAACTAGAGTTGTGATTCTTCGGGAATTGTTAAATAAAATATTAATATAATGCTTGGGAATAACATTCAATTAGTCTAACTAGTAAGTGGTTAGAATGGAGTGAAAATAGACTACTTTTATTTTCCCTAATATTCCCGATTTTAGAATATTTTGAAAACTGCCCGAAAAGTCTTCCATAATTTGTGAAAATCATTCATAATTTTTAAAGAATTCATTAAAACATCCACAAAACATTATTTTACATATGTATGTTTTATTATCGACTGAGTTATTCTTGACGTGATGAATACAAGTATTTTACCTTAAATCGCTGGCTTTGTCTATAAAACGCACTTTTCCAGCAGAATCTAATCATACAGAGTATTAATTTTCATTAAATTTTAATGAAATACTGAATGAACACTAAAAGCTGTTACAAAATTCACATATTTGTATCTGTGATTGTGTCCGCCGTTTGTTTATGATTTGATTTGTTCTCAATTTTGTTGCAAAAAGGATTCAATTAAAGGATAGATACCTTTTCCGCCCTACCCTGTGGTGATGTATCATGGAATTACCATTTAATCTATGGCTTTACTTTAACATGATCATCGATGTCCTCCCATAGGATAACATTATAACACGGGTTTCTATGAGATTATAGCTTAAATCTATATAACGTTAGACACTTCCCTGTTCAAATATATTCCGGGAATATATTTTTGGGAGGAAAAATATTTTATCTTCTTGAAAACAGGAAAAATAAGATAAAATGTGGTCAAATCATGATTTATTATGGAATTAGTCATTTATGCATTATTTCTTTAAAACATCGCTCGCATATGTCAATCATCAAACTTATTATTTTGATTAAAATACTTTTATTATAAATTAATGTTATTTTTAAAAATTTTGTCATTTATTTTAGGAGTAAATAAACTAATTTATTCTTTCATTATAAAATGGCCAAATTCAGAAATAAAATCGGGAACAAAACTTATAAATAAAGCTTGTATTTGAAGTTATAGGGTATTTCTGTTGCATATAAATGAGTTATAAATTGTATTAAAATGATTTTCTATTACATTAATCAATAAATAAGCAATAAATTAAGTCTCAAATTTTGATTTGCTATAAATTTTACTAATTTACATTTGTTGAAATATATGTGATGATGAAATCAAAACATACTTCTAATAATACCATCATAAATGTGGGAACTGATATCATAATTAAAGCAATTTTATTTTTAAAGACTAACATTTATTAGATTTTATATCTAAATATACGAAATTTTTTTTATTATTTTTAGTAAAATTGGTGTTTTCTAACAAATCCTTCATAAAATAGGCTTTTCGGGAGTTTTCACAAAATATCCCAAAATCGGGAAAATAAAAATCATATATTTTGGAGCCTTTATAACCCTCGAGACTAATGAGATGTTATTTCCAATAATTTTAGTAACTAAATTTAATCGGGATGTAATGTAATGTAAAATTTAATGTAAAAAACACAATAATACTAAATATCGTATACAAAGTGTATAGTTTTTTTTTAATGTATACATGTCTCTCAATTAATGTTAGACACTTTTGGGGAAATTCTTATTTTCCCAATATCTTTCCTCTCAAATATTGGGAATTTCCCAAAAGAGGGAAAACTTTCGAAAGAAAATATTTTTAACCACAATTCAGCATTGAATAATGTGGTTTATAGGATTCTTGGCTATGGGATTCTTTAAGCATCACTCGACTTGTGGTTAACGTATAGAATCCCTGTGAACCTTGTTTAAAACTATTCCTATCTTTATTAATTTTTTAGCGACTTTTCACTTTTTTCAAATTTTATACTTTATTAATGGCTATTTCACAAAATATTTAGTAAATAAATTAACAAATTTTATAATACCTAAATTATGGTTAACGTATAGCATCGCTGTGTGTAAGTTGTTTACTAATTTGAGGACTCAAGGGATTTTCAATGAAATTTTATAGAAAATATCAAGAAATGTCAAAGAATTGTTGTCTTAAAAATCAATTTTTCAATGAAGTTATACAGTATGTGTGATACCAGGGTATGTAAAAACTGAAATCCCAATTTCGAACAGTTAAATTTTGAATACTTTTCTCTCTCAACCCGAATTGAAGTTAACCCATAGCTTTGCTTGCAAGCCTTGTTTATATGTGGTGCCCTTTGACAACACTTCATTACAACCGCTGTATTCGTAAAAAACTTCAGTTTAAACTTACAGTTAAATTAAAAGATTTTATTTAGAAAATTATAATTTATTTAATTTTCACTAATAATATGTAGAAAATAACAATCAATTTGTAATGAATGTAAAATTTTGTACCAAAAATAAGTGTGAAATCAGTTAACGAATCAATTGTTTGATGTCTTGTTTGTTGGAAAGCTTTTGTTGGATTCGTTTGGTTAATGGTTTGGTATACAAACCATTCATTATAAGGAATTCTTTGCTGTGATGAGAGACCGCTCCGAACGACAACTGGAAGTCACACAAAGCTATCAAAGGATTGGTCAGCTTCTCGTAAATGCTTTCATCGTTCTCCAGATGTGATAACACCAGAGCCGCCGACTCCACAGTAGACAGACATCCATCGGTGGGTTGCGTTCGGATCACATAATTGCTTGGATTGGTTCCGTTTAACTCGATTTTGGGCAAAGAGATATACGACAGGACGTGGCTATATCTTCATCAGGAATAGTGTATATAAGCGATGGTTATTGTAATTCACGAATCATGATATTTTCACCCGAAGGCCACTTCATTACACAATTTGGTTTATCAGGTATTAACACACAATCCATGCCATGAATTGAGTAATGATTGTGAGTTTGAATGACAGAATCGATGGCAGTTCCGCATAGTTTAACACTTCTCGAGAACGAAGATCTCATATGTGTTGCCGATAGAGGTATTGATTGTGTTGATTGTGTCGTTAGTTTGGTTTGTGATTAACACAAATATATTTAGAAAATCGACGAATACTTTGCTATACGGCGGGACTGAGCGGTGAGAGGAGACCCGGGAAACTAGTATTCAATGTTCAACACAAACTGATGGGAAAGGTTTACGCTGTCGATCACATCGGTATAAATATTTAAACTAATGCTAAGCTTTAAGTTAATGACATTCTTGTGGTTTATATTTCAGGCGATATTCTGATTGCCGTTAACGGACCGGAAGCTAATGGAGTGGCGCCTAAAGGGTTGAGTCTTGATTTGGCGACCGAACAGTTGGTCGACATCTGGGAGCCGACAACCGAACACTTCGATACGCCTCACGACTTGGCCGTCTCGGCCGACAGCACATCATTCTTTGTGAGCCAAATATCACTTAAATCACATAAAAAGTTATTTAAATTCACAATTGTTTAAATCTGTCACATGTTTTGTTCCCTTTTATTAATATTTGTTGTTAAAGATCTCAATTTTCAGTATTCAGAATATACATGTATGTATGTGTTAATAGTATTGTGTTATTCTAATAATTCCATTATTTCATGTCATATGTTGTAATTTTAATGCATTTATTTATTATCTTTATTTATTAAGAGCTTTAAATAACTGTTTTATTGTAATTTATTTTAAACTATTTTGATATAAATGTTACCATTTATTGAAGAGAAGTGTCTTCGAGTGCTTACAAGAAAAGAAATGTTAGTATATCTGGAATTTACAAACAATATGTATTGAAAAGTCATAAACTTATTGTAATTAGTTTTGAATATTGTAAAAGTCATAAAAATTTAAGAATTGATTTGTATTATAGGGTTGAATGCAATGGAAGAACATTTCTCTTAATTTTTTAATGAATAATGTGTTTAATAAAAGTTATTTATTTTACAAATTCATGATTTATTTGATGGCATTAAATGATGGTTTATATGATTGAGAATGGGGTGAAATGTGTTTTCATATTAAACCTGGTACATTGAATACAAGTATTAGAACATTTGTATGAATCAATCCAAAATGAGTACTCCATAAACACAATGTTAAAAAAGTATGAACTGTGTGAAAGCTGAAATTATTTCACTTCACACCAAAGGTGTTTGGAAACACTTACTGTATTGAATTCTGGTCATGGATATGACTAGAGTTGTGATTCTTCGGGAATTGTTAAATAAAATATTAATATAATGCTTGGGAATAACATCCAATTAGTCTAAGTGGTTAGAATGGAGTGAAAATAGACTACTTTTATTTTCCCTAATATTCCCGATTTTAGAATATTTTGAAAAATGTCCGAAAAGTCTTTAATGAAAATCATCCATAATTTTTGAAGAATTCATTAAAACATATGAATGTTGAACATGTATGTATGTATGTTTTATTATCGACTGAGTTAAAATTTTTCTTGACGTAATAAATACAAGTATCGCTGGCTTTGTCCATAAAACTCACTTTTCCAGCAGAATCTAATCATACAGTATTAATTTTCAGTAAATATTAATGAAAATACTAAATGAACACTAAAAGCTGTTACAAAATGCACACATTTGTATCTGTGATTGTGTCCGTCGGAGTCAAGCGTTTGTTTATCATTTGATTTGTTTTCAATTTTGTCAAAAAGAAGGATTCAATTAAAGGAAAAAACTTCATATCTTTTTAACTACAATTCATATGTGAAAAATAGACTTTTCCGCCCTACCCTGTGCTGATTTAGCATGCAATTACAGTTTAATCTATGGCTTTACTTTACCATGATGTCCTCCCATAGGATAACATTATAACATGGGTTTTTATGAGATTATAGCTTAAATCTATATAACGTTAGACACTTCCCAGTTCAAATTTGCCAATTTCAAATTCAGTTTGCCATTTAGACATTTTAAGCCATGAATTTCAAGTAAATTAATGATTTTTATTCTTTATAACCAAATATTTATTTATATTTATTTATAAGTCAAATATGTATTTATATGTAAAATAAAACTTTGTTAAAATGACCCTTAATTTTTATGCTTTATAACCAAATATTTATTTATATTTATTTATAAGTCAAATATGTATTTATATGTAAAATAAAACTTTGTTAAAATGACCCTTATTATGTAATTCGTTTGCCCCCAAAGTCCCAAATGTTTATCTTTAACCGGTAAATATATTTAAAAACATATTCTAAACAGCTTTAATTATTTCTTTTAAACATCGCTCGTATATGTCAACCATCAAACTTATTATTTTGATTAAAATACTTTTATTATAAATTAATGTTATTTTAAAAAATTTTGTCATTTATTTTAGTAAATAAATTAATTTATTCTTTCATTATTTTACGCAAATGCCATCAGTTTAAATATTGCCGTTGAAATGACCGGACATTCGTGAAATTGTAAAAAACGAGTAGATGAAATTAAAGTGCAATTTATACTTGTTTACAAACATCTGAGTTTATTAAAATCGAATTACATACAGGTATGCCTAGAGCCTCTACTTTCGGGAATAAAAACATTAAAATTCGGGCGGGAATCGGGAGTATAAAATGGCCAAATTCGGGAACAAAACCTTATAAATGTATTTCTGTCGCTTATAAATGAGGTATAAATTGTATTAAAATGAATTTCTATGACATTAATCAATAAATAAGCAATAAATTAAGTCTCAAATTTTGATTTTCTATAAATTTACCTAATTTACAGTTGTTGAAATGTATGTGATGATGAAATCAAAACATACTTTTAATACTACAATCATAAATGTGGGAACTCATATCATAAAGAAATTTTATTTTTAAAGACCAACATTTATTAGAATTTTTAGTAAAATCGGTGTTTTTAGACAAATCCTTCATAAAATAGGCTTTTCGGGAGTTTTCCCAAAATATCTCAAAATCGGGAAAATTCGGGAAAGCAAAAATGATATATTTTGGAGCCTTAATAACCTTCGAATAACCCTTGAATATGAGATGTTATTCCCGATACTTTTAGTAACTAAATTTAATCGGGAATTCCCGTAAAATAGAGACTTTACATATGCCTAATTCACATGTGTTTATAGTAGGCCAATGTTGCAATGCATTCCTATGTAGAAGCACAATAATACTAAATATCGTATACAATATGTAGTTTTTTAAATGTATACATGTCTCTCAATTAATGTTAGACACTTTTGGGAAAATTCTTATTTTCCCAATATCTTTCCTCCCAAATATTGGGAATTTCCCGAAAGAGGGAAAACTTTCGAGAGAAAATATTATTAACCACAATTCAGCATTGAATAATGTGGTTTATAGGATCCTTGTCTATGGGATTCTTTAAGCATCACTCGAATTGTGGTTAACGTATAGAATCTCTGTGAACCTTTTTGAAACTATTCTTATCTTTAATAACTTTTTAGCGAATTTTCACTTTTTTCAAATTTTATACTCTATTAATGGCTATTTCACAAAATATTTAGTGAATAAATTAACAAATTTTATAATACCTGAATTATAGTTAACGTATAGCATCGCTGTGTGTAAGTGGTTTACTAATTTGAGGACTCAAGGAATTTTCGATGAAATTTGATAGAAAATATCAAGAAATGTCAAACAATGTCAAGGAATAGTTGTCTTAAAAATCAATTTATCAAGGAAGTTATACAGCTAGAATGTCGAGTTTGTACATCTGTGTACACTCAGTCTTTTTAATGCAAATAGTCATTTATGTAAAGTTTATTACTATTACTATACTATTCATACAATAGTTCAAAAATTAACTTGATCAATCAATAATCACGTCTAATTAAAAGCAGTATTTTTTATGACTCGACAATCTAGTTATACAGTATGTGTAATACCAGGGTATATAAAAACTGAAATCCCAATTTCGAACAGTTATATTTTGAATACTTTTCTCTCTCAACCCGAATTGAGGTTTACCCATAGCTTTGCTTGCAATCCTTGCCCTTTGACAGCACTTCATTACAACCGCTGTATTCATAAAAAAAAAAACTTCAGTTTAAACTTACAGTTAAATTAAAATATTTTATTTAGAAAATTTAATTTTCACTAATAATATGTAGAAAATAACAATCAATTTGTAATGAATGTAAAATATTGTACCAAAAATAAGTGTGAAATCAGTTAACGAATCAATTGTTTGATGTCTTGTTTGTTGGAAAGCTTTTGTTGGATTCGTTTGGTTAATGGTTTGGTATACAAGCCATTCATTATAAGGAATTCTTTGCTGTGATGAGAGACCGCTCCGAACGACAACTGAAAGTCACATAAAGCTATCAAAGGATTGGTCAGCTTCTCGTAAATGCTTTTTAGCAAGAGGTCTACACTATTGTGGTCTCGGCGGCTGAGGTGTCATCTGTCTGTAGGTAGCCACCCAACGCAAGCCTAGTGTATTAACGAACCTAACCAAGGCAAATTGAGCTAAAACCCGTTTCTCCTCAGTATAGGACTGTTCTGTGCGTATATAGACCTCGTCTGACTCCACGTGCCGTCGATTAGTATTATATTATACGAGTCTTCGGTCGACAACTCCGACAGCGGCTGAGATCCCATTCCCGGGTAAACGAGAATTGTTTTGCGTTTACTATTGCTATCGTCTTGTGTTTGGTCTCCAATCACTTCTTTAAGTACCGGATATTTAAAGGTGGAGAACCTCTTGCCTCTGAGGACAACACACTGTCCGCACGACAGACTCAACTCCAATATCTTCGCAGTCCTGAGACATCGTTTCTCTTCGTTCGGGTGTTGAAGGATCACAACTCTGTTCTTCGTCTCTATGGGAACGGCCGGTAAGTGCGGACACCAACACACCGGCAGCGGTCGACTCAAGACATACCAAACAAAACCAATCATTAATTGTGTCAAACATTTCAATTCATATCAATTATACCCGCATTTGAGACAAAGTTGTCGTTTAAGCGGCGGTTCGGCGGAGATGTCGGCCAACTCTTGCAAAACATCGTCCATATTATCACACATTGCAGTCGCGGACACCGAAGATGTCCACCGATTCTCGTGATAACGAGTGATAATAACTAACAGTAAATGATATGCAAAATGAAACACAAATTTAATTAAAATAATACTGTAATTAAAAATGAGTATAACTTGTAATCAATAAAACATATAAATTATGTTTTCATAACATTTTAACGTATTTTATATATTGATTGTTGTTTTAAATTCAAACAAAACATTCACAACAACTGTATGTTAGGGTCCTATGAGTTGTGCACATGTTTTGTGCGGAAATGTATGCATTGGTCACACATTGGGGGACAACATATGGACACACACTGTGTGTATGGTATGGAGTCATGTGATGAACAATTGTTTCATAATGTGCTAAACATTACGTGTATTAAAGCAGTGAATGAATTGCCGGCAAAACTATTGATTTGTCTCTCAATTAAGTGTTAATTGTTTTCTGTTTTAATAACTATTAATGAATTGCAATGAAAATCAAATGAATAAATAGTCGGCAATAATAAAAATGTTGAGTCCATTAAAAGTATTGATATTAACTGTTAGTATCGCAGCAGTGGTTGTGTCGACCGATTCCAGCGGTCAGTCGCCGACGAACCAGAAGTATGTGTCGATCGGTTTGCGGACCAATTGGTTGGAAACGCCTCTCTATCTGGAGTTCGCGGAACTGTTGGCCCAACAAAACGAAGAACTCGTTTGGCTTTACATCGATTTGATCCATAACTTGTTGAACTCGTCCTCAATCCTATCGCTGTCCCCGCGATCACAGTATGACATTATCCTCCAACTCTCGGACCAGTTGTTGTCCTCGAAGTCCATGTCATCGGTGGTGAAGTTCTCGCTCTCTTTGCGAACCCATTCGCCGACAGTCGCTATGTTTAACCAAATGTCAAACGAATTGCTTCTTCAGCAAAAAAGTCTTGAAAATTGCGACACTTTTGTTGAATTGAGTCGACCTTCAGATACAAGTGTATCGATTGATGGCTTCAATCCATTCAATTGCGATCTCATTAATTTGAAGACATCACTGGAAGCGCTAATTAATTCTTTGGACAAAGATTTGGCTTTAATTCATCCAAATATCTACAAAAGTGATCACATATTCCCAAACAGCGGATCAGTTGAGCCCAAGATAACAGTCATTCTGTACGGACAGATCGGAACGAATGCATTCCAAGAGATTCACAATTATTTAAAACAATCGGCAGAAAAGGGTTTAATTAAATATTCGTTCAGACATTTTGTAAAGTCTGGCAGTGATAGCAAAGTGAGTCTCTCGGGCTATGGGGTAGAGTTGGCCATCAAAAGTACGGAATACAAGGCACAGGACGACACTCGGGTGAGGGGTGAGGCCACACAAGACACGGCGGCCATCCATGAAGTGGAGAACAAAAGGCCGGACGAATTGGAAGGCTTTGTGTTCTCTAAACTCAAGCAATCGTTTAGCGATAAAAGTGGGAAAATAGACGAATTTCAGACACATTTGATGGACAAAGGAAAAGAAATCGTGACTTTAAAAGTGTGGGAATTGCAAGAAATCAGTTTACAAGCGGCCAAAAAGGTGTTGACATCCGAGAAAAGCGACGCCTTAAGAGTTTTGCGAGAAATATCGCAGGACTTCCCGACAGAGGCTCGAAATCTGATCAAAATTAAAGTCGACAGCGATTTGAAGAAAGAAATGGAAAGAAATCAACAAATGTTCGCTCAAACACTCAATTTGGGAACGAGTGACGTCGCCCTCTTTGTTAACGGCCTCTACTATGACGTCGACACCATCGATGTCTTCACACTTCTCGATGTGATTAGAAAAGAGCTTAAATTGACTGAAGGATTGCATCAATTGGTTGGCGATAAAGACGATCGGCTTAAGAAACTCATTAAGTTAGACATCAATAGCGATAAACAAGACTTTCAGATTGATATAAGGGATGGAGCGGTCATTTATGTGAATGATGTGGAAAATGACAAAATTTACCAGAACTGGCCGTCGAGTCTTCAAGACATGCTTCGGCCCACATATCCAGGAATGTTGAGAAATGTACGCAAAAATATATTCCATTTGGTTCTTGTGTTGGATCCGAGCAAACGGGAAGCGCACGATGTCTTGAAATTAGCCGAATCTTTTTATGTCCACAAAGCGCCCGTTCGCATAGGTATTGTGTTCGCTGTGAACGCCGACACTTCGGTTGATGGCCGTCAGGACGCAGGCCTCGCATGTCTCGAGGCATTCAATTTCATCAGTCAAGACAAGAGTCCATACGAAGGACTGTCTTTCTTGACTGATGTGATCGCAACCGTTGGCGCCGATCGAGGCGTTCAAAGGGACCTCACGTCTGAAGATGTTATCAATCAGTTTAAAACCAAATACAAGAACGAAGATTTGGACCTAATATTTGGTTCTGATTCTGATTACGATACGGGCCGTAAGTTGGCCTGGGATTTCATTCGCCGCACAGGTGTTGGCAAACCTATCAAAGCTCTCCTAAATGGAGTTGTCCTCAAAGAGACTCATCTGAACGCAGAAATGTTTGAAGAGGTGGTGTTGACTGAGATTATGAAACAAACGAATGTCATTCAAAAAGCCATTTATAAGGCAGAGTTGAGTGATTCCGATGACGTTCTCCAATGGCTTATGACACAGAAGAGTGTTATGCCTCGACTCAACCGATTGATACTCAATACCGACGACTCATCCAATGTTCATAAATATATCGATTTTAGCGGTAAAGCACTGGACGCTAAGTCAGCCAACAATTACGAAAGTTTGAGTTTAAAGGATTTGGAAAACACGTTCGCTTCCTCTCTAAACTATATTACATCTGATTCAGAGAAATGTAATTCAGTTACAGTTTGGTTGGCATCCGATTATCAAAGCAAACCCGGAATCGATATGTTATTGTCAGTCGTCTCACATTTGAGATCAAATAGCCTTTCCATGAGATTAGGTTTGGTTCACAACTCGTTTAGCGTTGTCTCAAAAGTGATCGAATCAGCCATTGTTTCCATCACTCGATCCAACCATTTGTTACAATTTCTTCATAAATTCCTTAATTCTTTGCAAGCGATTGATGTGTTAAAAGAAGAGTCAAAAGTCTTTGATAACGCCATTCATTTGATTAGTGATGAATACCTCGAAAATTTTAAGCAACAATTCAATGCCATGTCAGACAACAGTGAGATTTTCAAAGCACACAAATACTTTAGCCTCAGATCTGACCCGTAGCCTCTCTTCCTGAGGCGCTAACAATAGTTGCCTTTTCACTAGTTTTAAGGTCTCTTGCTCGGGAAGTAACTCCTACTGAAGTCAGATTATCTCTTTATGCGCTGGTTATCAAAACGGTATAAAATACTCACAGAATTGACTGACGAAGAAAAGTCTGATCCGCAAAAGTGCAGTGATTTAGTTCTTAGAATTAGTTCTATTCTGTTATCATTTCCACAATCAAAGGCCAGACACGACGTGAAATTTTTTGCCGATAAACACAGTGTCGTTAACTTAGAGCCCATTCGACCCGACGAGCCATCCCTTTATTTGGTCGCTATTATGGATCCGTTAACGAGGTTTGTATTCATTCATTATTTCAATCTATTTTATCGCAATTAAGATTCAAATTATGGTTTTATAAGTTAGAACTCTTTCGAGTCCACATAATTGAGTTCACCTGTTCTACTTAAAGTAGTACCGTATTGCTCCGCAACTAGTAGCATACAATAAGTGCATTTTATTCTTTATTTGGCTTAATTTGACTAATGCTCTAATTATACTTACGCCAGATATATTTGCATCCCTTGTATACAAATTAATGATAGGTTAACTCATCTCAATAGACTTTTGACCTGACCTTTGGGGGCCGAACCATCTTATAAATCACATTTTTCATAAATTAATTGTGATTAAAAATCTTTATATCACAAAATATTCTTAATATTCTTACAATACCAATTAATTTCAATCTCATACAATAAATGCCGGCAATTACTTTTTACAGTTCCTTACATGTTGTAAATATAAAGGGCATATTTTATGTTAAACTTCATAGTTTTTTAAAAACTTATTTAGTATGATTTTAATTGAAATTACAATAAGATGTTAAAACTATTGAGGTATACTGTAGAATAGTTGCTTTCATTGCTATAATTGCATGCAACTATATACGGACTCTTGCGGTATATACCTGTGTATAAGTTATTCGTCTGGACGCTATAATAGATTTACAAATTGTCCACAAGTTGTGTGCAATCTATTGCTTTTCAAACCTTATTAAATATAAATTAAATTATCTTTTTAATAGAGGAGCACAAAAATTGGCGCCAATATTGGATACTTTGCATCAAATATTTAACACAAAAATACAAATCTTTTTCAATTGTGTGGACAAACACTCGGAAATGCCATTAAAAAGCTTCTATCGATTTGTGATCGAAAGCGAACCAAAATTTTCAGACACCGACGAATTGATGCAAAATACAGCACACTTTTCATCGGTACCCACTTCTCCTCTACTGACTCTAGGAATGGCTGTTCCCGACAATTGGTTGGTTGAGTCAACACTTTCTCTCTACGATTTAGATAACATCCATTTGGATGACGTCGAGGGCAACGGTATATCAGCTGAGTTCGAATTGGAACACTTACTTCTTGAGGGCCATTGCTTCGAGCAGTCGTCGGGTAATCCTCCGCGAGGACTGCAATTCACTTTAGGCACAAATAGCACTCCTGTTGTCGTCGACACTATAGTTATGGCAAACTTAGGGTATTTCCAACTCAAGGCTAATCCCGGCCTTTGGAATCTGAACTTAAGACAGGGAAGAAGTTCTGACATTTACAGTATTGTAAGCCATGAGGGAACCGATTCAACGCCCAGTACTTCGCAAGTGGTGGCACTCTTATCGAGCTTTAAGAGTCATGTCATCAAAATTCGTGTCAATAAAAAGCCGGGAAAACAGAGCGATGAACTGCTTTATGACGCGGACGACGACGACATGGACGACATGAACAGTATTTGGAGCTCTTTTAGTTGGAGCTCATCTTCGAGTCCTTCTAAGAAGAAGTCGAACAATACTGTGACGGAAGGCGAAGAGACGGATCGGATTAATGTATTCTCTTTAGCGACGGGTCATCTCTACGAACGATTGCTTCGAATAATGATATTAAGTGTTCTGAAGAACACTAAAACTCCGGTCAAGTTTTGGTTCCTTAAGAATTATTTGTCGCCTTCTATTAAGAATGTGTTGCCATATATGGCCCGTAAGTATAACTTTGAGTACTCTCTGGTGCAGTACAAGTGGCCGCGTTGGCTACACCAACAGACCGACAAACAGCGCATCATTTGGGGCTATAAAATACTGTTCCTCGACGTGCTCTTTCCTCTGGACGTCAAGAAGATTATATTCGTTGACGCGGACCAAGTGGTTAGGGCTGACCTCAAAGAGCTCAGAGACCTAGACTTAGAGGGAGCGCCCTATGGCTACACTCCCTTCTGTGACAGCCGTAAAGAGATGGAAGGTTTTCGCTTCTGGAAGACCGGCTATTGGGCGACACATCTTCACGGAAGGAAATACCACATCAGCGCTCTATATGTCGTTGACCTCCAGAAGTTCAGGAGAATCGCCGCCGGGGATCGTCTTCGCGGCCAATATCAGGGCCTCAGTCAAGACCCCAACAGCTTATCTAATTTGGATCAAGATTTGCCCAATAATATGATTCATCAGGTATTGAATGGCAGAACTCTTTATACATTATAGTTATGTTTAATTGCTTTAAATGTTTGCATTGCAGGTAAGCATCAAATCATTACCACAGGAGTGGTTGTGGTGCGAGACGTGGTGTGACGACCAATCAAAAGGAACGGCCAAAACAATAGATCTCTGCAATAACCCGAAGACCAAAGAACCAAAACTAACGGCCGCCAGACGTATAGTGTCTGAGTGGCAGGACTACGACAATGAGATCAAAAACATGATGGTTGAGTTGCAGGAGATGACAGCCAACAGTACTATTCAACAATTCTTGGCTCAAAGCCCGCACTCCGAGTCCCGCAACAGTCATCACGAATCACATAAAGAATTATAACATTAGTTTCTGTATTATTCACATGTTATATGTTTTGCTATTTTAATAAATTTCTAATTTATTCATAAATTGTTTTTTTTATTTTGAAAATAAAGTGCATTTATTTTTGAATTATTTGTGAATCTAAATGGCGAGAGTGTGAGAGTTTGGTGAATGAGTATCATATGAATGTGATTAGAGTGGTATATCTGCAGTGGCTGTAAGTTGATCATGAAAACTTATTGTAAAGTGTGCCCAACCATCTACAGTGTAGATTCTACACCCATCTATTGCACAAATAAATGTCGTATTTGAAAACTAGTTTAACTCATTTGATGCCTATTAACTTGAGTTTAAAGATAAAAGTATAGGTTTAATATTTAATATAATGAGTACAGTATTGCCACCACTATTGGTGGCACAGAGAGTGAGGTGATTAATGAAGCTCACGTTTCGATCATTGCATTTCTATATCAATATCATTGTTAAATCATTAGTTTTTAAAAAGTTAACCATTGCTTGAATATAGCAAAAAGCCAATTCTAATCCAATAAATAATATTATTTATATCGACAAATAATATTGTTATTTGATTATAGATAACGAAATGTATCTTCCAATTAGAATCGCTCAAAGAATTGATTGAAAGTAAGCAATTGGTCACTCATTCTTGGTATTCAACTTAAGCATTGAATCCCGTATTGGTGTAAATGAGTGCAAAACCTTAATGATTGAGCCCTGCCTTCCACTCTATTGCTCTACTATTGTTCACATCTGTATTGTGTAGTAATTGTAATAATTCTACAATTCCTATAACAAGTGACAGTGAAGTGAACAGAATATGCAATGCAGTCAAGCCGTCATCAATGCGTACAACACATGCTTTATGTATGCAATGAGTGAGTGATTGACTCCAGCATTGAGTGAATGCACTGTTTGTGAGTCTATTGTCAGACATTTGCAAATCGTTTGTGTTTTGTGTAATGTTTTGTCAGTTATTGTAATTCACTTCAAATTGCCTTTAATTTCGCCATTTATTCAATTAATTAACTATTATTTGATATAATAATTGCATTTAACTTAACATTCAGTCAATTGTCGTCTTTTATTAATAGTTTTGGTAAATATACGAGAATTGAGTGATTATTACGTAATGAGTGTCTCATTTGAGTGATTGTCTAGTTTTCAGGTAATGATAAACTGATGGTAACTCCGATGAGCGGACACAACGCCGGCGAACCCGAGGCCTGGGCTAAAGCCAGACAATCGTTAGCTCAGGTGACACCACATCGGGTGCCCACTCCGGAGGTGACGCCCCAAACGCCTCTCTATTACAACTCATGGCCACAATCTTCGCCCTACGGGTCTGTCATTGCGTTTAAGCATACATTACATGACATTTATTAATGTTATCTTCATTACGATTAGCACTCAATACGGAAACAATTATTACAGCTTTAATTCATCGGTTGCTGTCAATCAATGGCCGCAACCATCGGTCGTAAACCCAGGTTTCGTCGGCACTGCAGAAGTGAAGCCTAATTATGGATCCAATGGTCGAATTGCGTCCGAAAACAGCAATTCTGCCATCAGTTCCGCTATAAGCTTAAAAGCCAACAACTCTTCAATGAGTCCCATAACCCCTCTTACCTCTGCAGCCAATAGTAAAGTCAGTGACAACAATAGCCAACAAGCAGTTAGTATAGAGTCTTCGTCGCAAATGAGTGGACCGCTGAACCCGAGCAACACTGGCATCCGTTTCCAACTGAACAAACCGGCGCCCAATATAGTTAATAAACCAATTAATAACTCATTCGTTAGTAAACCTCAAACTAAAGAACCAAACAATGAATTCCCAAATAAAAGATACGATCAGAAGAATAGCAATGGAAACAAAAGCGAGAGTTCGGCGGAAACACCTCAGGATCAGTGGCCCGAGAGTCTGAAGGAGTACGTGAACAGAGCCTTCTCTGCCTGTATTAACGAATTAGATAAGGATAGGATTGAGATAATCCTGAAGGGAAAGCTGACCAAAGCCCACCACGAGGGCGCCCTCTTTACCAAAGACTGGAACGCAGAACCTCTGCCCCAACTCTCCTCTCCCAACAGTAAGAGTGTTTTCAATGACAGACCAGTGTCTCAATCGATGTCAGAAAAGGATAGGATTAATAGAAATAAGGAATTTGACCGCAAAAGAAGGCCTTTGAGTAGAAGTCGGTCGCGATCCACATCCAGATCACCCGACTTTTATGATTGCCATTCGCTTTCACCTAACGATCGAAACCGCGATAAAAGGAAAAAGACTAAGAAATCGTTTGAAAGGTATTATACTTTATAATGAATTGATTGAAATGGTTTTTAATTTGTTTTTTTTGTCTGAATAACAGCAATAATGCCAGAACTTCAGCCGAATTGAGTCCGAACTCTGATTTTATTCCGTTTAATAATAAACAACAGAATAGAGGAAAAGCAGAGATTTTTACAATTGAGTCGAACTCCAAAAAGAAACGCAAAAATAGAAACCGAAAGAAAAATAATATGAATAATAATACGTAGGCCCGAGAGTCTGAAGGAGTACGTGAACAGAGCCTTCTCTGCCTGCATTAACGAATTAGATAAGGATAGGATTGAGATAATCCTGAAGGGAAAGCTGACCAAAGCCCACCACGAGGGCGCCCTCTTCACCAAAGACTGGAACGCCGAACCTCTGCCCCAACTCTCCTCTCCCAACAGTAAGAGTGTTTTCAATGACAGACCAGTGTCTCAATCGATGTCAGAAAAGGATAGAATTAATAGAAATAAGGATTTTGACCGCAAAAGAAGGCCTTTGAGTAGAAGTCGGTCGCGATCCACATCCAGATCTCCCGACTTTTATGATTGCCATTCGCTTTCACCTAACGATCGAAACCGCGATAAAAGGAAAAAGACTAAGAAATCGTTTGAAAGGTATTATACTTTATAATGGATTAATTGAAATGATTTTAATCTGTTTTTGTATGAATAACAGCAATAATGCCAGAACTTCAGCCGAATTGAGTCCGAACTCGGATTTTATTCCGTTTAATAATAAACAACAGAATAGAGGAAAAGCAGAGATTTTTACAATTGAGTCGAACTCCAAAAAGAAACGCAAAAATAGAAACCGAAAGAAAAATAATATGAATAATAATACGTTTGAATCAAATGAGCCGATAATGCAAATGAATATAAGTCCCGAACGTATGGCTCAACGGAAGGCTCGCTTTGTGGAGATTCAGCCCAAAAAGAGTTATTCCGATTCAAACACTTCATACCCTTTAGCTAACAATATGACAGATGAGATGACATTTGATTTTAACAGTGCTATTGTCGGCACATGTCTTGATTTAGAGAAACAGTATCTTAGGCTTACATCAGCTCCCGATCCCTCCACTGTTAGGCCCATTCATGTTCTCAAACGCTCTCTAGAAATGGCTAAAAATCATTGGAAGAAAAACCAAGACTACAGATACGCCTGCGAACAGATGAAGTCCATCCGACAAGACATCACTGTTCAGTGCATTAGAGACTCGTTTACAATTGATGTCTACGAAACTCACGCCAGAATTGCATTGGAAAAGGTATACAATTGTCTTATTAAAGATGTGAATGCATTAGATTTAATGTGTTTGTCGATTGATTGTTGTTTAGGGCGATCGGGAAGAGTTCAATCAATGCCAGAGTCAGCTCAAAGTGCTTTACGAAGACTTGGATAGTGTCAATAGACGTGAATTTACGGCATATTTAATTCTGTACTATATTTATATGCAAAATAAGTCAGGTATGGCTTGAGATGGGAGTGTATAATGGATTGATTGACTAAATGATTGTTTTGAATAGATTTGCAAATATTGGTTCGGAAGCTGTCGAAAGACGATCTGAACGATGAGGTAATATCTCATGCACTCCGAGTCCGCAGTGCATGGAATTTAAGTAATTATCATAAGCTTTTGAGTCAATACCAATGCGCGCCTAAAATGTCCGCATATCTAATGGATTGGTTCGCATTAAGACAACGCAAACAAGCGTTTAAAGCGATCGTAAAATCGTATGTATTTATCATTTATTACTGTATAATATAATCCAAAAAAGAGTTATCGATTAGATTTCGATCTATTCTTTAAACCCTTCCCTATATTACATATTATTTGTGTTATTTGTATGAAACGATTGGTGAGTATAATAGCAATGATGAATATAAGCCATTGTTAATGATGTGATTGTTTTGAAATTAATTTGCAAATCTAATATTCAGATATCGGCCCACAATTCCCGTCTCGTTCTTAATACAAGAGTTATGTTTTGCGAATAGAGACGAATGCATCGATTTCTTATCGCTATTCGAAATTAAAATTGCAAACGATTCCCTCATTGATTGCAAGGCCGCGCAAAACGCTATCTTTCAGACACCCGACTCATGAAATCCCAAATCTATGCTTTACTCTCACATCCATTCAAATAGTTTATGCAAATACTACACAATACATACCGCAGTCTCACTTGCAATCGCTGGGCATTACAGTACCAGAGCTCATGTCATTCATTGCCATATCATATGATTACTATACAAATCGTCTATAAAAGCATATGTGTATCGATATAATGAAATGCTTGCCATTTGCTATCAAATCAAACGTCTCGTAAGTTTGACACTGAATTAGAATCTGAGGAAACATTTGGCGTTAACTCACAACTTGATTACTCGTCGGAATTGTTTATAACCTTATTTAATATTTGATTATATGTTTGTCTATACAATATGTACTCAATGTATATAACCGTAAGTTGTTTTTAACAAATAAAACTTTAAATTTGCTTAAATCGGTTAAAATGATAACTTTATTCATATTTATACAAATATATCGATATTTACATTGAAATAAAATGACAATTGTGTTAAGGATTTGCTAGACCTATAACTATCCAAATAATGTATAAATAAATTATAAACAATACGCTGACCGCTCTAATTGCTGGCCAACACATACACCGGTAAAGTCCTAACTGTTGTATACGATATTCTTATGCTGTACTTCACATATGATATTAATGACTAAATTAACTACAAATTCGGGCTTTGGATATAAAAAACGTTAACATATCTAAAGGTTTGTAGGGTTGACATCACATACAGTATACATCACCACATTGTGGTGAACACTATGGCCATCAAACAACTGGTCATTTCTAAGCGATTCAAATGTTTAGATGAGAGAGAAGGCCACACACCTGTCAATAGGTCCATATCTTGTGCTCGAATCAACTGTTTTCCCAATTATTATCGTAAATGAATTGATGAATGATTGAAAAAATATGTCAATTCTATACTGAATTTGGTTTTTTTGTATAAGAATTATATCTCAAAATATTCTGTTTTCTCTAAAGTATTGAAATTAATTGAAAAATGATTTAAAATTTAGAGCAATTGATCGATAACTGGATATAATAACGACATGTGTTCGGCGCCGACGATCGGCAGCCGATTATAGCAATAATGGTTAACAATATGCGGAATACTGTTAAAAGACATGTTTTCTGTGCCGAAAGTATAGGTGCCATCACTTTGTCGCACAATCTTGATGTGCATAAACCCACGAACGCATCTGACATTCAATGCAATTCATTACAATTACTGCCACTTTTGCATTCAATTTAATGCTTACTTTAATGATAGCGAGTAGTGGTGTCGAGAGCAGTGTCTCACCAAATAACTGCCCACTCGTGTCGTCCGCAACACATTCTCGCCATCCGTCCGACTGATGTATCCGTGAAACCAACTGAACAATCATTTCAGATAAATATTATCCAATATGTGTATCAAATGAGCGCTAATATTGATAACAAACCCCTGTTTCTCGACCGGAACCGAGACATCGATCGCTTGAGGCGTACTGTCCGTCAAACCGATGCTTCCCTCGACTCCATTGGCGCCGAAACCAATGGATATCTTCTTCCGAGTCTGTCCTTCACTCCGACCATCACTTAAATCGAGGTTTAGTCCCATTCGAGACATTCGTTTGCTTTCCGATGATATGTCTAAACAATCAAATTATTTCATTCATTAGTTCTTTAGTGTCGGGAAGACATGGAAAGGTCTTCAAGACATCACTGCTCTGTCGACAACTGGTCCACAGATGGCCAGTGATGTCACCAGAAGACCAATTCATAGCTCGGGTGATGTCAAGAGTACAGACTTTGATTGTTTTCCTCATTGATTGTAGTCATCAATGGATTAGATCGAGAGGTGATGTGAAGCGAAGAGCTGTCACTGGAATCGATGCCATCGTTTGAATGTGCGCTTAACTCGAGTCCATTCATCTCTCCTTCGGGTGTCTTAATAGTCCACAACTCATTGGCCACTAATTGTCTCTCATTTGTTGGTGTATTGAGTGGTGACGGCATCGCCGGTCAGACCCGAAGATTCAGTCACCAGATATTCAAATCAAGCCATCGATCGCTAAACACATCATTCAATCATTCATTCAATTGTTTGTAAACTTAATGTTCAATACTTTAACCAATACTTCATATAAACAACGCCTTCACTGTCAGAGTGGGGCACAAATGAGTCCCCTTTTGGGTCCCCTTTAATGCTATTGAATGGCATAAACCCCACAACACTTGCATTCACTCACAATCCACTCGTGTCATTGCTTTTCATATATTTTTATTTTTCAACGCTTCATAAGTTATGACATTTAAACATTGTTTGGTTTGTATTGATTGCGCCCTTTCTATAACACACTGTATGGTTGACAACGTTATAACAGTGACAACGACTACAATGAGTGCTGAATATAATGCATACGTTTTGCGTATTAGTGACGAATTGACGACAGTTTGTAAGCAAATGATTCACATCTGAAAGCCTTTATTAAAAGTGAGTCATGTCTTGACATTACGTTTGTGTGAATACATGTGGACTCGAAGTAACACTCATTGAGTGTTGGCTTTCCTCACGCTTTCAAACACTAAATAACACTAAAACTGATGTTTTGTTTTCAATTTTGACTTTTGTTTTGTTTTTGTTTACAATTAGTCTCACAAAGAGTTTGTATCGCAACTGACGTGAAGATGGCCTCCGAAGAGGAATCCAATGGTCGGATCCGCTTTGAGATCAGCGATTGGGACGTCAAGAATGAGTTCAATCCGTCGAGAAGTACTCAATCGAAGCGCAAACTCAAGAATTTGCAAATCTATGGTCAGTATTGGGAACTGTTGTCAAGTGATAGACAACTAATGTCTTATTGTTTGCCATCATTTGCAGGCAGTTTCGCAGAGAGCGATAGCGACGACCAAATGGACACCAATGACACGAAACCAGTGAAACAAAAGGGCATTAATTTCATTAGCGGTGGTCTTAAAGACGATTTGGACACAAATGCAAGTGAAGAATTGGATGACAACGAAGAGGTGATGACATTTCGGACCAATAAATCGAAAAGTGAGGGAAAGTCGAAGAATAAATGGAACCAAGAGTTCGCTGGCATTCGGCGAACCAATGCTTTCGGAGACGAAGACTTCGGTCGCTGGGAGTCTCACACTCGAGGAATCGGAGCCAAACTGTTAGGAAAGATGGGTTACGAACCCGGGAAGGGTTTGGGCAAAAACCTTCAGGGAATCACTACTCCCGTCGAGGCCAAGAAGAGAGCGGGTTTTGGTGCTATTGGTCTCTACGGATCCGAACATAAACACAAACCAATGAATACTGACGAGACATTTGACGACAATCTAAAGACTCGAACCAAACCTAAAACAGTGTCCGAAAGGAAGAAAGAAGTGATAAAAAGGATCATTAAATCGACGGATCAGATAATAAGAGAACAGATCACACGACCAATGGATGAAAGCGAATTGAATTCAATGAAAGTGATTGACATGACTGGACCCGAACAGCGAATTCTTGCCGGTTATCACGAAATCAGCAAATCATTAGGTTTTAGTCAACGCGGTGTCGATGACGGCGAAGACGACAGCGATTTACTCGATGTGACCGAAAAGGAAATTCTCGAATTGACTCTTCAGATAAAGAGGGAATCGAATCGCTTGGAGACTATTGAGGAAGAGATCAATCGAATCCAAGTGGCAAACAGTGAAAGAGAAACTCAGATCAGTAATTATGAGAGCGTTTTGAAACATATGATGGATTTGAGTGAAAAAATGAGTGAAAAGGAGCTGTCAATCGATGAAATGCTCCAAAATTACGATCAGTTACGAAATGATTTTCCGGAGGAATTCTATTCCCTTCGATGCTATGAAGCAGTGGTTCCAATGGTTTTCCCACTCATTCGATGTGTTCTTCAAGATTGGAATCCATTAACAGATTGCGAATCAATGAAACAACTGTTTATTAAACTGAAAACTACTGTAAACTTTGGCGAAGAAGGTGTCTATGAGTTGCTGTTATGGGAGCTTTGGATGCCTGTTGTGCGAAGACATATCTGTGAATTGCCTTCTATCAGACAATGTGATGAAGTAATTAATTTGCTGGAGTCGTGGCGACCACTTCTACCCGATTGGCTCTTTGATAACATTATTGATCAAATAGTTTTGCCACTCATTCAAAAGGAAGTGGAAGAATGGAACCCTTTAACAGATACGGTTCCCATACATTCATGGCTACATCCATGGCTTCCTCTACTGGTCGAGCGATCACTTGAGCACTTATACGATCCGATTCGTCATAAGTTAGCCAACGCTTTGACTAATTGGTATCCAAGCGATGGTTCGGCAAAACTAATTCTGGAGCCGTGGAAAGGGGTGTTCAGCGCCGGTGCGATGGAAGCCTTTCTTAATATCAATATAGTTCCTAAGTTAGAGATAGCGATGCAGACATTAACTATTAATCCACACCAACAATGTCTGGATGTGTGGCATTGGGTGATGTCGTGGCAGGACTTAGTCTCCACAACAGCGATGGTCACTATATTAGAAAAAAGTTTCTTTGGTCGTTGGCTTAATGTCTTGTATAACTGGCTCTCAAACGGTTCCAATTTAGAAGAAGTTAGTAAATGGTATTCTGGATGGAAATCAATGATTTCTCCGCAACTCTTAGACCACCCGTCTATTAAAGACGCTCTGAAGCGAGCGCTGGATATGATGAACGCGTTTGCATCCAATCCTAACCTTCCAAAACAGCCCTTCAATGCATTCTATGCCCCGATTCGACCGCAACAACAGACCACTCCTACGATTGCCATCTCAAGCAAAGACGCCGTTCCCGACGTTTCCATCAATTTTAAGCAATTAGTCGAACGAAGAGCTGAAGAGAAGGGAATACTATTTATTCCGATCACCAATCGATTCCATGAAGCGAAACAAGTGTATAAATTTGGAAAATCTATGGTTTATATCGATAGACAGGTGTTATTCACAATAAACAACAATAAATGGGTTCCCACTTCACTCCAAACACTCCTTGATTTCGAGAGTTAACTCTAATTATGCGCTAATTTTTAATCAAATATAAAATTAAACTCATATTTAAAACATTTATTGTCAATAATTTAAATATTTAATATTTTTAGTAAAGATATATTTATTTGATGTAAAAATAACATTTACAGTAAATGTAAAATTTAACATAATATGAATGAAATGCTATTCGCGTCTCAAGTTGTCGAGTCTGGCCTGAAGGTCGGCGTCCGCGTCGGTCACCGCCACCGGTGTCTTGGCGTTAGCGGCCGACGGGTTGAGAGAGCCTATAGCTTGTGGCAAATCATTGAGTTGTTGGTTAAGCTGAACGCCCAACTCATCCAACACTTGGGCCACCACTGCGTCGCTCTCCTCCTCGTCCTCTTCATCGCCCATCACATCATCGATGGCGTCGTTCATCATCTCTTCCTTCATATCCATTATCTCCGACTGTCTCTCGAAGTCAGCCATAATTCTCTGAATCTGTGGTAAATTCATCTGTTTGTTCATCGATGCGAGGGCTCGGGTCACGCCTTTCATAGCCATCGCCATCGCGTTCTGCGACCGCAATGTCTGCACTTTGAGTGCAATCGCCTGAATGTTGGCCTTCATTAGTATAAACTTCTTGACGTAACGTCGGGTTCGCACCAAATCCTTGGCCATGATCTTCACGGCGTCCATCTGATTGTCTTTCGCCATCTTTTTGATGTCTGCGATCAACTTCTTCTCCTGTGCCTCCATTTTAGTCCTCTCTCTGTCCAAATCGCGGACCGCTTTATTCAAAGCCCTTTGGTTTTGTCGTAACAGTTCCTCCGGTGTCTTCTTCTTACCGAACAACCACTCCATCCCTTACCACAAGATTAGCACAAATACACGATTAATACACGATTAATACACGATTAATACACGATTAATACACCACTAATACTGTAAACAATCACTTAATCACAACTCAATTCAATCACTCAATTGTAAACTCAATGATTGCTTAAACATTTGTCAACATTTCGCACAAATCATAACAATTTTGCAATCATTTCGACCATAAATGATGTCATCGATTGGACAACACGTCTACGGCTTTTACCACACGTTCACTCATTTATATCACACGTTATTTACAGTCAGAGTTGAAGGCATTATGCTTTCAAAGTTGACAATACTTTTGTTGAGTCAAACCCTCTCTCTGTGAGACCTGTGAGCGCACTCTCTGTACGCCATTCGCTGATTGGTTGACGCATTTGAATGAGTCATTGACTGCGGGGTATAAAAGCGTTGCCAACGTATAGATCAGGCATTCGTTGTGAAGCATCAGTTGTGCAGTCAGTCATTGTTAACGACTTTGCAATTGTCACTCACTATCTCTTAATTGTCTTAATTGTCATTCATTACCACTAATCCAATCAATCCATTGTAAGTTTGCTAACCATTAAGATGTTGTCCAAAGCGGTACTGCGTTGGCAGTGGATGTGAGACACTGGATGTGATGGTGTGGTTGAGCGCCAAAGTGGCATAACTGCCATATCTAGGGTGCGGTCAGCCCTTCACTCCCTTTGTCTCCATTCCCTCCAAACTCTCAAACCGTCGGTTCATTTGGTCTACAATTGAATTGTTAATTGAAATGTTTGATTGAATTGCTTGCAGACAATGCGTGAATGTATTTCCATACACGTGGGTCAGGCGGGCGTACAGATGGGAAACGCCTGTTGGGAACTGTATTGTCTCGAACACGGCATTCAGCCCGACGGACAAATGCCCAGCGATAAGACCATTGGTGGCGGCGACGACTCGTTCAACACGTTCTTCAGCGAGACGGGTGCGGGCAAACACGTGCCGCGCGCTGTTTACGTGGATCTGGAGCCCACTGTTGTGGATGAGGTGCGTACCGGCACTTACCGTCAGCTCTTCCATCCGGAACAGCTCATCACCGGTAAGGAGGACGCGGCCAATAACTACGCTCGCGGTCACTACACTATTGGCAAAGAGATCGTGGATATCGTTTTGGACCGCATCCGGAAACTGGCCGATCAGTGCACAGGTCTGCAGGGATTCCTCATTTTCCACTCGTTTGGTGGCGGAACCGGATCTGGCTTTACATCGCTTCTGATGGAGCGCTTGTCTGTGGATTACGGCAAGAAGTCTAAGTTGGAGTTCGCTATCTATCCGGCGCCGCAGGTGTCGACCGCTGTGGTCGAGCCGTACAACAGTATTCTCACCACTCATACCACACTCGAGCACTCGGACTGCGCTTTTATGGTCGACAACGAAGCCATTTATGACATCTGTCGCCGCAATCTGGACATCGAGAGACCCACTTATACTAACCTGAATCGCCTCATCGGACAAATTGTGTCCAGTATTACCGCTTCTCTTCGTTTCGACGGCGCTCTGAACGTGGATTTGACTGAATTCCAGACCAATTTGGTTCCCTATCCGCGCATTCACTTCCCGCTCGTGACATACGCTCCGGTGATCTCCGCCGAGAAGGCATATCACGAACAGTTGACTGTCTCTGAGATCACCAACTCTTGCTTCGAGCCCGCGAACCAAATGGTGAAATGCGATCCAAGACATGGCAAGTATATGGCCTGTTGTCTCCTCTACAGAGGCGATGTCGTCCCCAAAGACGTGAACGCAGCCATCGCTGCCATTAAGACCAAACGCAGCATTCAGTTCGTCGACTGGTGTCCGACTGGTTTCAAAGTAAGTGAATCTATCGCTTGTCTTATTGTTCCCAACGCTAATGATTGCATTGTCTGATAGGTTGGCATCAATTATCAGCCGCCGACTGTGGTTCCGGGCGGAGACTTGGCTAAAGTGCAGCGCGCGGTGTGTATGCTGTCCAACACGACTGCCATCGCCGAGGCGTGGGCTCGACTCGACCACAAGTTTGATCTGATGTATGCGAAGCGTGCGTTCGTTCACTGGTATGTGGGAGAAGGTATGGAAGAGGGAGAGTTCTCTGAGGCCCGCGAAGACTTGGCCGCTCTCGAGAAGGACTACGAAGAAGTGGGACTCGACTCCACTGAGACCGGCGAAGACGAGGCCGGAGAGGAATTCTAAACACTTAATGAATGGGCGTTTGATTTGAATTTATTGATAATTAATTGATTTTCTAAATGCCTTTAATTCCGTTCTTTGATCACTAAATATCTCAATAAACACTACATTTGTTTTTATCCAAAAAATGCTCATTTATTTGAATGATTCAAGTGATTACTTATTAATACTAATTTTTGAATAAGGTTTTAGTGATAAGTTAGTCAATAGTAGTTTGAAATGATGTCCGATTACTAATCGACGATTAGTGATAGATTTAAATAGTTAATAATTTTAGCCCACAATCGCCTACTCATTGGTAATTGAATAGTGATTTAAAGTACAGTAAGTCGAGNACTGTAGGTCCAGTCTATGCTGTATTGTAGTGAAGCTGACAGTCTATCGCTGTATGAATGGGTGGTTTGCTTTGAAAGTGGGAACCAATGGTATCGGACGTACTCTATGCCCGACACGTGAGTGTTGACTGACATCCATATTATGTACAACTGATGCCTAATGTTATGCTTTGAACACCAATTGATTCAATTGTGAAGTCATTTCAATGAATGCCTATTATGTGTGACATTTAGTGACCACAAGTAGTCAACCAATTGAGACAATGTTCTGGCAGTTTGACACCGGATTTGTCTCACAAATCGATGCCCTCCTCGACAAAGAGGTGATACTCTGTCCACCATTTGGTCCATATTTTAATTGTTTGTCTCTTGCAGTCCGTCTCCCTTCAGGAGCTGATGGAAGAGGAGGACATTCTTCAGGAGTGCAAATCCCAGAATCCAAAACTGATTCAATTGTAATTATGATGATATTGTCGTACCTTTTTGTCCCATCCATAGGACCTAATGATAGGCTCGAAAGAGTTGTGTTGAATACATGTAATTGATTTGTAAAACCTATTTAAAGCATAACTCGTCGATCAGTGGTGGAAGAGATGGTAACGTTGATCACAAGTGAGCCGCCGATTGACTTGAATGAGAGGATCCGTTATAAATACGCGAACATCGCGTGTGAGATAATGACCAGTGATGTGAATGTAATCGTTGATGCCTTAGTGATGGACGACTCGATGCTCACCAAACTGTACGCTTTCATAGACACGGACCGACCCCTCAACCCATTATTGGCCAGTTTTTTCAGTAAACTTATGGGACATAATCAACACTTTTTTTGACTTCAACACAAACTCAAGAACTTCAGATTTCTGAAATAATCAAATAACAACTGTGTGTAGCTCTGGAGTCGGTATTACCTAGACTAAGAGTTTGAATAGTAATCATATGATAATCTCGATCTCAGAAAAACCATTATTAAAGTGAGTTTTCAATACATTTCTTATCCATAGTATATATTAAATAAATTTAATTTCTACTCTTTCAGTGGCTCTACGAAAACGATTTAATTAAGAAATTATTGTTTATATTCAAAACCAATTGTTTGCCTCAAAGGCATATAAACGCCGCGCAACTCATTTGTGACATAATTAAGACAACCCGTGAACACCAATCCCTTCTTCAAGATAAAGTCGATTCCGATTTATTGCTCGATTCACTCGAATCGTATGTATTGTCTTTTGTTGAGCATTGAGTTGTCTCACGTCATCCATAAGTTTGAACACTTGTTTCACACAAATTACTTCAAATCCATGGCAATCATAGATGACATGAGACAACTTAATTGTCATAAATTAATGGCAATTAACATTGTTTTTGGTTACAGGACTGAAATTGTAAGCGAATTATTAGAGAATATGTTTACATCTCGAGCAGAGAGCAGTCTTGTGAGTGGGCTTTCGGTAATCCAATCACTTGTTGAATATAAGCGTCACTGGTATTGATATAACACTACAGAGTGCGGAATCTTGAACTCACTATTATACACAAACTAAACATCGTACTTATAGTTATCTGTTGTTTATGGCTAGGGAGTTTGTTTACAGGGCGTTTTGAGACTTAAACTTCCTTACGGAGTTAGCTATGGACAGCAAATGGGGAACAGAACTGACATTAATGGTTGCGAACAGATCACAGCTCTCGATACGGAACGGTTGACCAAATGTATACGACAAGTGGAGGCAGCGATTCTGCCACGACTTGACGACTTTTCATCACTTCTGGACAATCCTCCGCCACAACAACCAATCAGAACAACTGTCGGACTCATTGAGAAGCCATTGGGAGTGACACGACTAGAAGTGGCTCATCTCATCACCGCTCTCCTCAACACTAATAACCAAGAAATAAGTGACAAATTGCTGCAAATGAATACATTGCCTCTTCTTCTTGTGAGTTCTCTTCATTCGTTGCAATAATTTTTCAATAAATTAATTAATGAATTATTTTTAAATTTCAGAATTTATTCTTTGACTATCCGTGGAATAACTTTCTCCACAAACAAGTCGAGCAAATGATTGCTTGTATTTTGAATAACAATTCCAATTCTGATCCCAATTGCAATGAATTGCCTTCAGATTGTGATGAATCGATATCATCGGCTACTAATATCCCGGCTTTAGTCAAACAACTGTTAACTCAGTGCCAACTCATTGAAAGAATGTGTGATGCTTTTGAAGACAGCAATACATCCAACAGCGAGAGCCAGACGACAGAATTAAAGCCTATTTACACACCAAAACCTGGATATTTGGGTCATTTAATAATTATAGCAAATCATTAACTGTCATTTACGTCATTTCTATATAATTTTGTTGAAAATTGAGGACTTTGCGAACTTTTTACCGTTTGTAAACAGCTTGTTTATAATCGTTTTTAGTTGTTTTGAGATAGCTGAGGAGAGCAGAACGAAATGCCAAATTCTGTGGCTATGGATGAAGAGTCTCTCCGACAACAGGAAAGCACTCTTCAACAGGTATTGGTTACTAAATTGTGGCCGAAAACTGTCTCTAAAGCGTTGGTTTCTTATTTAGGCATTCATTGAATACCAAATGCAACAAATGACACGAAATCTTTGCACACAAATTGCATTCGCGGCCAACGAATTCACTGAAGTTAACGAAAGCATTCCGTAATCATTTTGAATTATTGGTTATCTATTGTATCCTAATATCAATATTCTGTTTTATATACAAAAGCTCTCAAATAGATTCGCTCTCAAGAATTAACTTCAACTTTGAGAACCAATTGGTAAATAATTAACTTAAAACATAGATTTAAAATAATTTAGTTGTAGTTGTTTTAAACACATTTTTGGTTACATTTAAAGCAACAAAAGGACAATAGTTTAGAGTTTGAGAAACTATGTACTGAAAGAGCGAAGACAAGTCTGGATAGTAATAGCAGTGACG